GCAGGAGTTATCCAGTGTTATTCAATTCTGTAACAGTGTGTAACTTGTAAGCTGTCGAACATTGAACTGAACTGATATTCATGGATTCATTGATATGATCGAACAGAGTAACATATCATATCATTGTCATGAACATATCATATCTGACCAATGTATATGTATATGAAAATGATAATGATATGATATGATATTGTCTGCCATCATACTGTGTATGAATACTGTATGAGCATATATACATACAGTGTGTTACATACATGTATTCATGTATCGTATAATATATAATATTGCTTTATATACATAATTAATAATCAAACATCAAATAGAAATAACAACTGGAAAGACTAATATACAAATGTAGTACGTTGTAAGTAAGTTGGCTACGAGTCAGAAGTTCTAAATTTCTACAGTTCGACGTGACAAGTACCTATCAGTAAGGCTGCCAGTATCAATGGTCTAAGTATACAGTATACCGATACCCTATACCGCAGATACTACACTCTGCACATTTGCACGGGAACATTCGTGCCTCGCAATTTCCGGATTTACAAAGCATATGTTTCAGATAGTCATATGATACATATGTGAGGTTCATTGCACAGCTTGGCTACTTAAACATATTCAACATTAAGGTCTGTAAACCTCTAAGTTCTAGGAAGCAGTAACAGCCAAGTGGTGTTCCTAAGCATGATGCAAAAACTGATAACTGAAAAAGTTTTATAAGTTGAGAACTTCTGGTCGGGCAAACAGGAAAAGCTCGTACGTTCGCCTCCACAGCTGTAAGCGGCCAACAGATATTACTAGACCATTATTACTAGCCTATTACTATTACTATTACTATCATTGTCATCAGAGTCATCATACTATTTTCATATTTTCATATTATATATCATATTATATTAATAATATTAACTAGACTATATATATTATATCAAACTGTATTGCTTTATTTTTGATGTTGACAATAGAGGACAATGACAATGACAGTATCAGCAGTGTCATCGTGCTGCCCAGAAGTTGTTCTGTTGCCGAGTTGTTGGTCGTTGCCAGTTGCTTGTTATCCTGGTTATCCTCCAGTCGTTGTGCAGTGGAGAGCGGTGGCATGCTTTAACTGACTTGTGTCGTGCTCCCAAAGCACAGCGCCAAGGCGCGTTGTGTAAAGGTTCGTTTAGGCGGCTGGCCCCGTGCTGTTGGTGTGGTCAGCATGGCTCATGAAGTGCCTGACAGCCAGCCACCACTTGGCGACGACTACTGGAACTTCCTGACGCCGAAGAAATCACCGCACAGTGTAGCTTACCTGCAATGTTGGCAATAACAAGAAGCATGGACCATGGACAGACACAAGCACACAGGTTAGCAACAAGGCATCATGTAAACAGGTCTAGCCCGGTCTAGCTTGTTTGGATCCTTGATTTACGTTTGTTTTGTTGATGTATGTGACAAAGACTCCGGGGCTGCAGCCCCAGTTACGCAGTGGGTGTTTCCTGCTTGCTCACGTGTCCCAGCCCTAAGGAACCAAAACAGCAAAGCCTGTGTTAGATCCTGTGCCACCTATGTATGCCGCGATCCGCAGGTTTGATTTAGATATGATAGATATTAGATGTGAATATGATCTGAATATGCTAGGTAGACTATAGACTAGACTATAGACTATAGACTATAGATCAGAAGCTGCCCCCGCCCTGTAATAGTGGTATATCCGGTATAATAGGAATAGAATAGGGCCCTACTACTATAATCCTATGTACAGGGTGGGGGCAGCTTCTAAACTATAGACTATAGACTATATGATTACGACCAGGCATTCTTTAGACAGCAACCGAATAAATTAAGCCCGAGATCCCAGCCTTACACTGGAGTTCGCTGATCGATCGTCCATAGACTGTTAGATGACCAATGATAGACAGTCAGACAGACATATTTGCCGAGGCAAAGTCATCTTCATCTACAGCAGTGACAGCAGCGGCAGCAGCGGCTTCAAACCTTCCGAAGGACATCCTAGAGATTCCGGTCTCTTGGTTGGGTGAGGAGGAAGCCGAAGCCCAATTCGAAGACACAGGGCTTGTGCAGAAGAGTCTGCTACTAGATGTGCTCGAGGAGGTGTTCCAGCAGTTGTCTTCAGACAAGCAGCAACATTTTGTGAACCTGGGCCAAGAGTTGAAGCAGCGTTTCGGTTTCCAAGCGATGCGTGTGTCCACTTTGTGCAGTGGCACCGATGCTTGCGTCGACTGCTTGAAGGACTTGCTGGGTTGTGTATGTGGGCACAACATAAGCCGTAGGCATAGGCTAAAGTTAGGCTATGGCTATGAGCTATGGGCCATGGGCCGGGTTTTGGGCTGCGGGGCTGGCCTGTGGGCAAGGTCACAGGCCACAGCCATTGGCCATTGTAGTAGTAGTAGCCGCAGCCTATATAAAGGCATTATTCGTAGTCGTCTAGGCAGCATATTGTATTGTCTGTTGACAAATTGTTTATATTGGTTGCTTTGGCTGCGGGCTACGGGCTATGGGCCAGGCTATGGGTTAGAAGGGGCCCCCACCCTGTAATAGTGGTAATATAATATAGTATATATATATATATATAATATAGGTAGGGCCCTAATATAATCCTTATAGTCACTATTGCAGGGTGGGGGCAGCTTCCAAGCTATGGGCTTAAGCTATGGGTTATGGGCTATGGGCTAGGCGGCCTAGACTTTTGGCTAGTGGCTATTGGCAGGGCTCTGATAGGGCTATGCTATGGGCTATGGGCTATGGGCTATGAGTCAATGAGTTTATGAGGCTGGCTATGAGCCGTTATGGATGGTGGGGTAGACAGGTAGATATGATATAGACGACATAGACTATAGACTAGAGAAAATAGACACTATAGACATAGACTGACTGATCATAGACTACAGATATGTAGACCATAGAAGAGACTATAGACATATGTAACATGCATCATATGATATAGTCATAGATATTCCAGAGGCATTCAAAGGCTCATACACTCATATCGGCTTTGGGCTATAGTATATGGCTGGCTATATATAGAATAGATTTGTATAGCTGTATAGGTAGGCGTACTAAATAGAGGTGATATAGACAGTCTTAGACAGTCTAGGATAGTGACCGGGACTTTGATGGCGATGTGGTGCCCGGTGGTGATAGCTTCCTTTTCCACTGATAGCCTCAGTGATAGTGATAGCCCAGTGATGGCCAATGATAGCCTATGGTGTGTATGGTTCTATGAATTCTATAGTCTGTCTATCACTGCTGGACAGGTAGAGTTTATTCATAATACTCCGTTTATAGTTGAAATATGCGTGGGCAATTGAATAGTTTGGTAGGCTTTGTGTTGCAACAGAAGCCGGGGTTGGCTTGTGATTCACTTCCAGGACGTCCTTGGCTTTGCGTGGAGCAAGGCCCATGATCCGGAGAAACCATGGGCTTCGGTTGCCAGGGTGCGGGACAAGTTCTTGTACCACACAATGTCCTGTGACTCTGACCACAAGGTGCAGCGGTACATCCAAAAGACCCAGCATCCTGCTGTATTCTGTGAGGATATCAAGGATGCTGCCGAGTGCATCTTTCGAGACATGTTATCGGGAAACCATGTTTGCAATCCAAGAGCACCGATTTGTGTCTGTTCTTGGGTGTGCTCTGATGTGTCATGACCTCAGACTCAATGGGTGCATAGCATCTGCAGGCTTCTAGATCTTAGATTTCGCATTTCCCAGAGAGATGAGAGGTGTTATTGCCAGCCAATGCCGATGCCATTCATGTCCCCTGTACCGGTACTGTATACCAAGGTCGCAAAGAAATCCAAAGCGGCGTTTTGACGGGTGCGGATTGACCGGCCAAACCTTCGACCATTTCTGTAGCTACTTGCAGAAGCAGCGCCCGGTGTGGTGTTACTGCGAAATGGCCTGAGCCTCAGACTAGCTTTGCGCTTTAGACTCACTATAGGCACAGGCCTTGGGCTGTAGGTAGGACTTACCTTAGAAGCTGCCCCCACCCTGTAATAGTGGCATAATAGGAATATAATAGGGGCCCTAATATAATCCTTATAGTCACTATTACAGGGTCGGGGCAGCTTCTAAGACTTACCGTAGGACGTTTGCTTCTTGATTTGTATGAACAGATTGAACAGATACTTAACGGGTTTTTGGTGTGGTCACAGCTGCATTCGTGCGTGGTAGGTATGCGGTATGCGAGGTTCCCGGGAAAGCCCCCGAGTCCGAAGTTATGGTTTGAATCAATGAATCATGAATAATATGAACCCAAGCAACTCTAGACCGTGCCGTGCCGAGACCATGCCTGGACCCCAGACCCCTAGATGATCTCTCAACAAGTTCTGGCTTAGCCTGTTTGATTCAGATTCAGATTCATATTAATATTCATATTCATATATATTATGTATGTGACAATGTGTATCTGTGTATGCCGCATGCGCATACCTTTGGCCTTTGCTATCTTGCAGCATTTCATGAACTGTATTATAAAGTATACAGTATATAGTGTATAGTGTATGTATACTGTATACTGTATACTGTATACTGTATACTGTCGGTTTACTGGAATTTTGTATACTGTATACTGACAATACACAGTACAGCATACATAGTGTCCGCGTATACTGTATACTGTATACTGTATATACTGTGCTGTATAGTATCGAATATCACATACTGTGTGACATACTTGAACACATACTGCTACATACTGTACTGTGCCTATGCAATCACCAGCCCGAAATATTGTATAGGCAGTACAGTTTAGAAGCTGCCCCCACCCCATAATAGTGGTATAATAGGAATAGAATAGGGCCCTAATATAATCCTTATAGTTATTTCTACAGGGTGGGGGCAGCTTCTAAACTACAGTGTAGTATAGTAGTAGGGCTAGACTAGACCTCAACCTAAACCATCACTGGATCATAACCCTAAACATTAGCTTCCCAAACCTTTTGCTTTTACCTCCTGAGCCTGAACCCGAACCCCTAAACCACATCCTGCTCGGAGGTTCTCGGCTTGCTCGTCTCCGGCAATGACCAGGCCAACGAGGACCGGAGCGAGCATGACCAAGTTTTGTCGCGCTTTGCAGAGCTTGGTTACGTGACAGTGTTCAAGAAAGTGTGCAGCAGCGGATGCGGCATTCCGATGACTCGACGGAGAGCTCATTATCAGCTGTTGGATAGCAAGGCAGTCACGAATGCACCAGCCCAGATGCTGAGGTTGGCTTCTGTGTGGGATGAGGTCATGAAAGGCCAGTACAAGCACAGGAGCCTGGATGAGTTCCTGGTTCCCCCAACGAGTACCTACTTCAAGAAGTGTCAGGCCCAGCTGAAGCAGCAGGACCCAGACCCCGCCGTCCCCGAAGCAGCTCGCTGGAAGTTGATGCATGCCAAGATCTTCCAAGAGCATGAGGCCGGATTTGTTGCTGAGCCATGTCTGTATACATTGTACACTGTAAGCTCTAGTTCCCTGTGGCCAGAATCCAGTATTGGTGTGTGGCGACATGGAAACTGTTGGGAGTGAAAGGTTCTGCTCTACAAAATGCATGATGAGGTAAGTACATTTGACATTTGCTGCTACTGCTACAGTGTAGTGTGAGTCTGAGTCGTCATCCAAATCGTGTGATTGTCATAGAGTCATACTCATTCATACATATCCTTTTCTATTAATTATTGGTTTTACAGTTTTACACCATGTGGCATGTAGCAGAAGGCAAATTGCGGTGTCTGCAGTCTATAGTTATAGTTAGAGGATAGGCAGGATAGGCAGGTGTAGTCAGTTAATTGTTTGCGTCATGTATGTAGGATGGATGGGATTTGCTCTAGTGATCATGGATCGCTGACCGACACATGAAACAACCTCTCATGGTGTCATGCCCAGTACTCCCGTAGTGTCTCGGTGCAAGAGCTTGTAAAGCCCTTTGTTTCTTAGGTTTGGTGCATGTTTTGCATAGAGCAACAAAGGCTAGAAGCTGCCCCCACCCTGTAATAGTGGTAATAGGGCCCTAATATAATCCCATATATAATCCTTGTGGTCACTATTACAGGGTGGGGGCCCCTTCTAAAACAAAGGGTTCTTCTTTAACCAAAGCAGCAGCCTCTGTGTTCATTTGCGACACAGGTGACACCGGAGAAGTTGCGGATTGCAGAGTCTCTGTATTCGGAGAACATGTTCTACCGTGCGTTGACCCAGCGCGAGCGGGAGGTGATATTATTTTTCGATGTGACCCAGCCAATGAGTGACACAGGGCCAGAATACAGCTTTGACGTGTGCCTTGCTTGAATTGTACCAGTACCAGGTTTAAGCAATGGCTTGGGTCCGAAGCTTGCGAAAAGGTTGCGGTAATGCTGGCTCACTGGGTCAGCCTATCTAGCTTGCGGGTGGTATAATAGGAACGGAATATGAAGAATCATACCTAGACTGATAAATAAACTATACATCATATAATCATATAGACATAGATATAGAGATAGACTGATGTAGACTATATATAGATATAGACTATATAGACTATATAGATAGTATTAAAATTAATTTTAGGTATTAGAGATCCAGTTTGAAACCCCGGGCCCTGTGCCCATGTCTTCACCATAATGAGAACACAAACATAGCAGTGCACCAGAAAGACTTCTGGTTACACGGCATAGTCATAGTCATAGTATATTTTGTCATCATGCCACATGCTGCGTACCACTGTACCATGCGATGATATCGTCACATGGTGTGTTGTCACCATATAGTAGCCAAACCTCGGGCCACCACTCTAAACCTTTTAGCCTAAACCGAAACCCCTAACACCCCCCTGAGCCTCTAATCTTCGGAACCTCCCAACAGCTGCTCCAGGTCGCAGAACCTGGACCGAGTGCATCCAGTTCCACGAATTGGGTGCCTTGCAACAAATAGCAGGCACTGGTTGAGGCGAGGTCGGCGATGGCTCTTGGGGTTGGAACGATTCCGGCTTCAAGGAGTGTTCCACCACCAGAGCGAGGTGGAGGAAACCCATGAAACCACCTTGCGCATGCTGTCCGGCAACTCGTTAAACTTTTACAATTTTGTTCAAGGTGTCGTAGCAGCTATGGCGACCCTTGACATTCCATGGATCATGTAGCCCCGAAGCGTTCCCTACAGAATCAGGGCCTAGACCTGATGTGACATGGTAAGATCAGACCCATGAGCCACGAGAGTTTTGGTTCCCAGTGTTTGGGGAGGCAGACACAGCACCGGGCCTTGGAATCCAAGAAAGCCATGCGATGTGACGGGTCGTATCCCGGATAGTTTGGAGTTCGGGCTGTCAGCAGTAGGGCAGAAGCTAGACCCCAAACCAGCTACCGCCTCATGTAGCTTTTTAAGTTGAGTTGACCGGCCATTTGCTTATGCGGCACTTATGCGACCATAACATATAGTCAGAGTCATATAATCATATATCTTATATAGGCTAGGCGCATTATACAGGCTAAAGAGCCTTCAGTATAGCCTGTATAGCCTATATTATATAGCCTATAGCCATAGCCTATAGCCTGTAGCCTGTAGCCTGGCCTACCTATATATATCCTATGACCAAAACATATCATATGTATGTATGTATGTATGTATTCTTATAGTATAGTACAACTTAACATATACAAGTTGTTCGTGTCATATGTTAGGAATGTTAGTTTGTATTTATACTTCTGTGTAACATCTAATTTGTACAATGACAACCTAGTATAATTTGATATGATATAGCACAGATACGGTGTAGCCTCTAGCCTATAGCATAAAGCCTATAGGACACCCTACCTGAGAGCCCCCCAATCGGCCATAGGCTCATAACCCTTTAGTTGTTGGTTGGATACACGCTGCAGCATCTAGCACAGCCTATGGTGTATGATTGGCCGTTCTGTGAAGACTTGCAGGCTATATGGCTATATGTGGCTATATCATAGGCTAATGGCTATATCTATATATGAACAGGACAGGACAGGCTATAGTAGAGGCGGTCAGAAGTGTCTATAGTATTGCGTCCTATAGTCATATAGTCCAGAGTCCTCTATAGTGTCTATATAGTCTATAGTCAATAGTCTATAGTCTATATAGTCATATCATATAGTCATTATTATCTAGTCTATGAATGTGTCTACCTATACTCTGTGCAACGTAGACTGAACTAGGATTGACTGATTAGAGTCACCCACCACCCTTTGACCGTGATCATTTTCGGACTCTGGGTTGCCAATCGATCTAGTCCACCATAGCCCATAGCTCAGATGCCACAGATGATGTCACTTACACATATGATATGACGTATGTAACTTTGCCAATTCAAGGATTCCAGGGAAGGTGCAGACACTGCTCGCGAGACGGGATGACGTGAAGGTCTGAGAGCAGCCACCGGTTTTGCCGGACAGAGAGGTAAAGTTTCTGAGGTACACGGTACACGGTACACACAATTCACTGTAGCAGCAGGTATTTCAGCGTTCGGATCCAGCTGGCATTCTGGGTCGAGGGCCATTTGCTGTATGGGCTATAGGCTATAGGCTATAGGCTATACGCTATGGCTATGGGCTATGGGTCTAAGTTCTAAGTCATGAGTCATGAGTCTATGATCCCATGAGGGCAAATCAGTTCTGCAGGATCTGGGCATGACATGTCAGCAGATATATTTGCAAGCCAGGTTTGTTCGGCGGCGCCTGTTCTCAGTCTTCCAGCAAGCTTCCCTCCGAGGATCTAGTGCCGGCTAACTACGCCCGAAAAAGGAAGGCTGGCCCCAAACAGAAACATTGCGTTTAGAAGCCGCCCCCACCCTGTAATAGAGACTATAAGGATTATATTGATTATATTTATATTAGGGCCCTATTCTATTCCTATGACTGTTATTCCTTACAGAGTGGGGGCAGCTTCTACTGCATGGTACGCAATGCAACTTGTGTGGCGCATGGCATGTCATTCTGTGTGTACTGTGTACATATAACATATCGTTTTACATCGTGTATGCATGCTGCAATGCTTTATGCAGCCTCTATGCTGTATGCATTAGAAGGGGCCCCCACCCTGTAATAGTGGTATAATAGGAATATAATAGATCCCTAATATAATCCTTATAGTCTATAGTCACTATTACAGGGCGGGGGCCCCTTCTAATGTATGCAGCTGTCTGTATGCATGTCTGAAGCATGTTATGTGTGCCGGTATGCCGGCCTGCTTGCATGCATATATCTACAGTACACTACTACTATACTGTACTGTACTGTACTACGGATATTTGATATCTGTCTGTCTGTCTGTCTGTGCATGTGTGTACATATGTCTGCGTGTATGTGTACGTACCATGTATGATATAAATATAAATATGAATGTGTGAATGCATGGTATGTATACAAGGTATGTGTGCATGCATGGATGCATGCTGCATATAGGCTTGCGTGTTTGGCCAAGACAGGACAGATGCAGTGCAGTGGGTTCATCATTGTGCTGATGTGTTGCTGCGTGCTCCACTCTGAACTGATCTGAACATTCTGCCGCAGAAGCGCTGTAGCAGAGGGAGTGCTTGCATCAGGGTGTGCTGTGTAATCATTCGGCCTGTGCCTTGTCCTTGCTCAGGCTTTAGGCTAGGTTACTCGAGGCATCTCCTTTGCAGGTTTCTTTCGTGCCATGACCAGTGTGAAAACTGGCCTCCTTACACGAGCTTTGCTGGGGCAGCCTTTGACAATCCCTACAGACAGCTCCCTTGCCTTTGCCCAGCCCTCCGGATTTGAGGACCTCCGACGCCCCCCCAATGTTTCGACCCTCAAGGAATGGGGAGCCTGGAAGTTCCCGCAGGGCAAGTGGAAGGGCCGCAGTTTTTTGGCTGTCTACATGAAAGAGAAGTCTTTCGTGGCTTGGTACCTTGCACGGGACCACTTCACATCAGCGTGGGCCAAGAGTTTCCTGGCTTTCTGCAAAGTAGCAGACGGTCTGGTGAAGCAGTCGTACGATGATGAAGAAGCAGAGCTGGCTGCGCTCTTTGGTGATTCCGATGATGGTGCTGCCTTTGCTACAGCTGCTGATGAAAAGGGTGCTTCATCGGTTCCCTCGGAGTGGCTGTGTGTCCTGTCCGAGAATCTGGACAATGAGTGACGGAGTCTAGCCATGTTGACGAGGCCAGGGGTCAGGCTTCTAATTCGTATAGTACAGTATCGCCCCCTCGCTGTATCACGGTATCAGTCGATGTGCTGATAGAAGCTCTATAGGGGCTATAGGCCTCGTGCTGGCAGTATCGCTGGGTGGCGTTGGCTGACGTCCCCACACCTGTTCGTGCCTGATCTGAGTAGCTAGAAACTAGAAGTTCTATACAGTCAGAGCCAGTGTAGCAAGCAGGGTTCGGGTCAGGTTTACAGCGTTTCAATTTGGTATTCAGGGCACTCCAGGTCAGGCCGCGAAGCCAGTTCAGAGACTGCCAAAGGCGTGTGAGCATTTCAAAAGGCCAAAAGGAGTGGTGTGCCGCCGATGTGTGTGTGTGTGTGTGTGTGCGTGCAGAACTGGCAGTGGGCTGCCAGGCAACCCACGGTTCCCAGACCTTCCAAAATCCCTTAATTAAGGAATATATACCGTATAATATACCTTAAATCATATTAGGGATCCTACTATGATTTAAGGTATATATATATATATATATTATTCCTTAATTAAGGGATTTTGGAAGGTCTGGGTTGTAGTGCACATGTAACATAACAGGCCACGGTTTCAATGCCAACGCATTAGCTGACAGAGCGTGTGATGAGACCGATTTGGTTCCATTGGGAAGCAGCGAGCTTCCGTGATCCGTGCTGTTCACCAGAAGCAGTGGGTGAGTGCTTGGTTTGCAATAGAATCATGGGCTCATTGGCGAGGTATGCTATTGTGGGCGATCGTCAATGCATGAATGTAGCTTCTACTTCTACTACTCCATTTCAAGCAAGCGTGAGATTCCACAATAGAGGATCCATGGAGTCCCAGTCACGTGACTCTGACCAGTTGCGTATGCTAGCCCATGCCCCAAATGCTGCCTATGCTATGCCACCACAATGCTACCTACGTCAGACTATCTTGGGCTATTATTTCTTGCTGTTTTTTGAAATTACGAATCTCTTTTTGGCCAATATCATATCATTGCATCCGTTGCCTATCATACATACCTATCATTGAGCCTATCATAGTATCAACCTCTGGACCTGAGGCAAGCAGCCATGGGTGACATCTCCATGATCGGGGCGGAGGATTTGGTTTTACACGACCTTGAAGCGGATGCAGACGCTGGAGACATGGATGGCCAGCTCTGTGGTGCATGTGGCGCAGACTCGAATACGGTTCATCCTTTTCGTCCCAACCAAGTTATCCGTTTCGAGAGGAACTCCAAGTGCGAGTTCTGCCACGGGGTACATGTGTATTGCTACGGGGAAGCGACTTGGAAGGAGCCTGATGTGGTTGCAGGAAAATTATATAATTCAGCACACTCTTCCCCAGTGCTCCGCAATGTTTTGCTTAGGCCATGGCAGATTCTGTTGTTTCCCAGTTTCCCCGAAATCCGAGACTTTGAAACCTAGCCTAAGCCTAAACCGTCAACCCTAAACCCTCAAACTTAATTAGCTTCGAAAACCCGCCGAGTGATAATCTTTCCTGTCGGCCAGGAAGTCATGGTTATCATTTCAACACCCGAGGGTCGGGAAAGCTTCTTGGCAAAGCGCACGGTCTACATCTGTATCCTGCAGAAGAACGAGGAAATGAAGAACCGCCCCTTCCTTCCCACGGATTCGCTGATTCAGTAGCTTTGCAGTAATTTATAGCATGCAGCATGCAGCATCCAATGGTAGAATGATAGCGATGGCGACAGCGTAATGATAGCTTGGATTGAAAGGTAGGTCTCCGTGCTCCGTTTCGTTCTCCTGTGGGATCCCGGGATCTTTGGAAATCCGAGGATCCTGTTAGTTGACTTTCCATGGGTTCTGTGCAGCAGAGCTGGTTTATCCTAAAGCAAAACGGCCAGAACAGCATTCGGAGTTCTAGGACCCTGGCTCATGGCCCTATGAGTCATAGTCATAGAGTCATACAGTCGCATTACACCCCAATATCATTTGCGACAGCACGGGGTTGCACAAAGTATACATCATGAAACATGGGTACACGGTACACTGTATTGACTGTACTGTACGGACTCTATTGTACTCCGACTCCCACATATGGGCAGTATGTCTCCTGGCAGGCAAGTGCTGCACCACAAAGAAACCGTGTTTCGGATCAAGCCGATGGGCAAGATCATCATCTACGCGACCGTGGATGCTTATAAGGTTGCCCATGGCGGGCGGACGCCCACCGAGGACGGTGTGAGTGCTGAGAAGATCACCGTGTCCAGCGGCCATGAAGTCACAGGCTACAAGGCAACTACACTGCAATAGTCTAGTCTAGTGCTATTAATATCATTAATATTAATCTATTATATTAATTACTAACAATTTATTTAATGAAAATTTGGCTCTCGAGGACGTACCCGACATAGCTTAGGGCTGGAGATGTCCAACTTGATTTTCAGGTCAATCTGCAGCCTGCAGCATGAATGTCGCCTAGGGATTTTGTGCTTATTTCAATATTGGCAGTCGTCTGAGTCCGGTTCTTGTGCAGCTGAGGCATTTTCTGGGCCGCGAGATGTGTACGAACAAGAAGTTTATGAGGAACAGCGTGTAATTCACTTGCGGACTTTGGACAACGGTTTGGCTGAGTTCCTTGTCTTGCATGCCAGCAAGGGTTGGAGGTTATATGAGTGCGAGGTGCTAGTTCAAAGGCTTTGTCAAAGTGTTCTTTTTGGGGCTTGTAGTGTAGTGTAAATTCAACTCAATGTCGTGGCCCCAGGTTGATGAAGAAGCAGCAGCAGAGCCGCTACGAGTCCCGCCGCGGCCTGCAGATGGATAGTCTTCTGGGTAACTTGTCAAAGATCCCCACAGACAGTGCGGTGTGGGCAAGGGGGCCAGGCCGACCGGATCCGTGCAGCCCGCCCCGCTTCAACGAGCCAGGCATGCTGGCCCAAACTTGCATGTGTACTGGGTATTGCCGGTATAGCCTAGCCTAGCATTACCACTACAGTGCTGCTACACATAGGAACATTGAAAGCATGCCGAGTACATTGCTGCTATGAGTTTTGCACCCTTAACCGCCTAAACCTAAGCCTAAACCGACCCCTAAACTGCAAACCCCCTAAGCCCTAAGCCATAACATAACCCCTAACCCTAAACCCTGTATCAGTGAGTAACAGTATCAGTGTATGTATCAGTCCTATGAGTGCCTAGCCTAGCAAGCAGATGAAATCATCATCAGTTTGGCAAAGCAGCCCTGCACAGGTCAAGCGAGCGGTTCCAAGAGCTTGGATGGTGTGGGTGGACAGACGACTGCTGGTCAGACGGGTCTGCCTGCTGGATCAGTTGCCCCAAACGTAGGCGACGAAGATTCAGATGAGGACAGGCTAGCGTTGGGATTGGACAGCAGGAGGAAAAGCGGGGGCGCCAAGCCCAAGCAGGCGAAGCGAACCAAGGACGATGTCAAGGCGGAGGAACTGCAGAAGTTGGGCTCGGAGGTGACCTCATTGATCGAGTCGTTGCGGTTCTTCCCGGAGCAGCCCACCGGCAACAGCTTGGGACGAGTAGACAGAATGTTGCAGCGAAAACAGAAAGACCTGAAGAACTAGAATGACTTCCAGGCGCTGGACAAGGTCGAGAGACTTTTGAAAAAAGTGGACTGTTTGCGCCAGACTTCCAAGCTGGCCGGCAACATGCTGTCGACCAATGCATCCACCCGCAAGAAGTGCAAAGCCGAGTTCATCACCAAGATGGAGCAGGCTAACCAGCAGCACCAGGATATCTTCCGAAGCTTCCCACAGAGTGTGAAGAATGCTTTCCAAGAGCACTTGGTGCCAGCGCTGGTCGAGAAGCAAGACTGGGCAAGGATTGCCGAGTCACTGTCCGTGGAGTTTGTGGAGGAGCTCTATGGTGTGGACAAAGCCCAGGCACAGACTGTTGTTATCATCGAGGGCATCGTCGGCAGTGTGCTCGCGAAGCACGAGGGAGAGAGGAACCCCGAGCTACGGGGCGAGGAGCGTGCCGCTCTTGCTGCGAAAGCTGTTGCTCAAGCATTGAAGGCCCAACCCTGTAATTCCCAAGGGTTATCCCGGTTAGGTTTTATACAAGGCCTGAGGCGCAAGGGTTGTGAAAGGTTCAATTTGAGGGCTTCGTTTGCAGTGGATTTCCTTGCTGAAGCCCAATTATTGCCATTTGAAATATTGCTTTTATTTCTATAGAGTAAGGGCGTACAGCGTCGGTATCGGCACTAAAGTACTGGGCTATTGGCTATTGGGCACTGTAGGCAACGGCATGGTAGCATAGGTAGAAGCTAAAGCTTGTGGAATGGTCCGGCACAGTTTGTGGTATGCTATGGTCCGGTATGGTCCCGTACGGGTCTGAGTCTTAATCTTAATTCTTCATTATCATAGTCACAGTTATTAAGAAAGACAATAGCAATAGGCAATAGGCAATGGGGTGCAGAGGCCTGAAGAGCGACAATGTTTGAGCCTCCCTGAACTCATGTTGCCAAGTGTCATATCATTCTGCGTATGCTGTATGTATGTATGCCGCAATGCCTAACTTCCATCGCCACTAGGCTTGCCACTTCATTCAAAGTCTTCTTGGAAATTGTAATGGTATGATATGGAATGGACCACTGACCCTGCAAATTTCAGGTTCCTGTCAGAATAACAGCAAAGCAGGAAAAGCCTAGCCTATCTAAGCCTATCTAAGTGCCCATCAGTCAGCCTATGTAATTGGTGACCCTGTGGAGTGTTTTGTTTGCAGGTGGCGAGTGAGAAAGCTCTCCCAGAGATCGTTGAAATGACGGTCAACGTCATTGCGGTTTGTGACTTGGAGCCGCTGGAGGGCGCAACCACACTGGAAGGTCCGCTGGCGAGTATCACTTCCGGAACCGACCAGGACATCTACAGATCCCTGTTTGCGTACGAGCTTGGCAAGGAGATCGTGGCCATCGCAGAAGGCAGAAATGTGCAGATGCAGGCCGAGCGTGATGCAGCCCAGCAGGCCAATGTCACCTCTGAGATGTTCCAAGGCTTCGCTCTGACAGAAGAGATCCAGTTTGTGATGAACAATGCAGGAGCTGAGTTTTCGGACAGCCTGAAGACATCCCTTGCATCTCTTGGCCGCGAGTGCGAGAAGTTCATGTTTGCCGTGCAGCCACCTTACTCGAGTGAGCCAGCCCAGGCAGCCATTGAAGCGTACCAGACCATGATGGCAGAGATCCTGGATGCTGTTGTAAAGAACTTGACTCTCAGCTTGCCAGGTGTGTTTGAGCAACTGTCAAGCAAAGACGGCGCAGTGATTGACCTGACAAAATCTGTCTGGAACTTGAAGGCCCAGGCAGATGCACAGATCATGATTGCTTTCATGGACAAGGGTCAGGGTGCCCAGAAGCTATACCAGAAGCTTCGGGAGCACGGCTTGATGTCAGACAGTCTGCCTCAGTTGTTTTCCAATGCAAGCACTTTGGTGGAAGTGGCCACGCCCTTAGTTCTAGTCTGAGTCAGTCTTGTTCGAGGGGTGTGTGTGTGTGTGTGTGTGTGTGAGTAGTGAGTGGGTGAGTGGCCTCGTGTTTGTGTCCAGTACAATTACAATCGAGGAAGCGGGCGGTGCGGCATGGCATGCTGGTTGTTACGGTATTATGTATGTATGTATGTATGTTACAGTCTGAGTATGTTGTAATGATACTGTCTGTACTGTATCTGAGAATCTGTATAATCATATAGACTAAAAATGTATGATTCGAGCAGCACCTACTGCTACACAGTTTCCAAGAATCGTCTATAATCTATGATCAGTGTGACAGTGCTGGAGTACCAGTGAACCAGTGATGATTCTGTTTTTTTATGCCAATCACAGATCGTATGCCGCATTCCGCGCCGTATCTGTATACTGTATACTGTATACTACTATACCGACTATACTCTATACAGATACAGTCTATACAGTCTATACAATGTACAGTATACGGTGGTATACAGTTTACAGTATATCTTGTATACAGCTACAGTATTGGCGGTATAGTGTGGACCGAATGGAAGGAACAATGCTTGGTGATGAGAGTTTGGGCTGGGCTATGCTGCACCAGTTTGGTTTAAGCATGTTGGTCCTGGTGTGTATGTGTGTGTGTGCGATTGTGCCTGCGTATTTAATTTGAAAGTCGGCTGGTCGGTACCGCCACCACTGTAATTTGTTGCCAGTGAATCTGTGAACCTTTGCTAAGGTGACTTGCGTGCAGAAGCTGTCAGCCGTCATGGACAAGACGGAAGCTGATGGGAAGATCATGAAGAATTGGGCTGACAATGTGCCAAAAGTGATTGCCAGAGCAATCACCGACAGTGCCCCCGACGACAGGGACATGATCTTGCAGTCCTTGGCCAGATTCTGCGAGATGAACTTCAGCACCGACGTGTGCGATCGCCTCTGCCGTGCTTGTGCAAGCCTTGGTTTGACAGAGTCTGCGGTGCTCGGGGACATCTTGCTTCTCATTGCTGGGGAAGTTCTCCCGCAGGTTTGGAAGACCCTGGAAGAGGCATTCTCAGTGCGACTTATCCGACAGCAGGACTTCTTCAAAAGCCGCATTCGAGCTGGCGAGTTCTTGCCTGACCCAAAGAATGAGAAGAAGACAGGCTTTTGGCAAAAGTGCACCGAGGTGATCCTTCCGAACACCGAGTTCCATGCAATGGAGCAGATGGCTCCGTTGTTGAGCCACAATGAGGCACTCGCCGAGATGTCCAAGATGCTTGCGGTTGAGAACCTCACCAACAAGATTTGCGAGTTCCAGGTGTTGGCATCCAGCTTGGAGTTCAAGAAGAAGGATCTTGCTGCCACCGACGCAGCCGAAAGCCACTGCTCATTGTGCAACAGCGCTTTGGAAGTGGCCCGTTGCTTGTTGAAGCTTGTGGAGCAGTCAGCCCGTGTGAAGGAGTACGTTGGTAAGCACGTGCTGGAGCATGTTGTGTCATGCACCACAGTGGTTGGCGAGATCTTGGTCAAGAGCAAGGCGGCAATTCCTGGGAAGTGGGAGGGCTTGGTCGAGAACAGGAATGCGTCCCAGATCAAGACAGTTCTGTTTGCTCGCAAGGTGCACAATGCTGTCACAGGTGAGATGGATACCATGACCACCATCGGGAACAACGTTGACCAGATTGTGAAGGAGTTCTCTTTGGTGCCAAATCTCATGAGCTCAGCACAGCTGTCCAAGCTCAATGAAGTCGTTCAGAACTACAAGATCATCAAGAACTATAGCACGTCGATGCATGCGCTCAATCTGCTTCTGCATAAACTGCCCACCAAGACCCCGCGTGAACGGGCCTCGACGATCCGGGAGTGCCATGCCATGTTTCAGAAGATAGCAGAATAGAAGCTTTAGTGAAGGTTTCAGGCTTTAGGCTTTAGTGTTCAGCCGTTACCCTGTTCAACCTCAAGCGTTCAAGGGCCAGTCTTTAGGGAGTTTTCGGCACTTAACGGCGTATGTACTCCTGTGTGTGGTATGACTTACGGGTATGATTACCGGAGTTAGCATAATTTCTTGGACGTGGAGCGCGGAAGTTGAGGGTGAAACAGTTTTGGGCTCCGGTCAACCCCGAACCTTAACCCACCTAGAGGTCGAGACTGGTGCGGGGGAGGGAGAGAGAAAAGAGGGAGAGAGAGAGAGAGAGCGACAAAGACAAAGAAAGAAATCATTCATTGCTGCTTGGTGCAGGTTCAAGAAGCAGTGCGATCGCACATCGGCCCAATGCAACAAGCATGTGCTGGCATGGCTGAACGAGCTTTGCAAAGACCCAAAGGACAAGTAGGTTAGGACTCCAGATCCCAAGATCTGACAGCGAGGCGCCTTGCCCGCTGCAATTTTGATCGGTGCAAGCACGATCGGGCAAAGTGTGTTCAATGAATACTGTGTTAGTGTAAGCAATATGAACATGAGCCCCGCATTCATGATTGATATGATATGGTTTCTGACTATTTGGCCACCGCTAGAGGCTCTCGGTCAAGTTTGTAAGGACGGTGTAGTCAAGCTTTCACCGGTTGTCGCACCCTCGGTAAAGTTTCGGCTGTCTGTATGTCGTACAGTATAATATTTACAGTATCAGTATAATTATTAAGTCAGTATAGGCAGGGGCTGTATGGTGTGTATGGTATGGTCGGTATGGTCCGGTCTATGGTCTATGACGGTCTATGACTCTAATCTATATATGGGACAGGCCATAGGCTGTAGGCTTAGGTATGGAATAGGCGGGCGGTATGTGCTAGCTGGTAGCACTGTAGCACCGTGTAGCCATGACAGAGTTTAATCAACCGGCTGGGTGATACATTGAGTTGGCCTGTGCGTGCCTTGCGCGTTAGCTTTTGATCCTTGTGACCGTGGTGGCTTGGCTGGGTGCTTCTCAAAGGGCCCATAACACCAAGCCTTAGCAGAGGCACACAGGACTCACTTCAGGTGTTGCAGCGTCTTTCCGCAAGGAAAATGATATGGCTGCTTGAGCTTCAGTGAGGTCCAGGCTCCACCGTGCGATTCGCATCCTAAATCCCTAACCCCTAAATCCTCAACCCCCAATCCCAAACCCTAAACCTCCCAAACCCTAGACCAAAGCCTAAACCCCTGTACACCCTCAGCCTTAAACTCGAAACCCGAAACCTGCAACCCTAAACCTAAACCGTTCGCCTAAACCCAAAGTATGGAGCATTGTGTTCGCATACTAGGATTCAGAAAGGGTTTCGGTGAGGTCAGGTTATTCGGGCACCAGCGCTCAAGGAGGGGATCCATTCATACACCCGAAACACCAGGCTCGTGGTAAAACCAAGTATGATCATACTCAAGCCATAATTTCCTATTTTACCTGGTGCTTTTTGTTGTGCTTCTGTTTCTGTCCACTATTACAGGACCACGGCAGCATCGAAAGTATGTGCGAGATCGGCAGAAGCCGCGAGTCAGCACTGCATTGAGGTTGAAGGGTTGAAAGCTTAGTGACTTAGTGCTGTGCGGGACTACGTTGTTGTTCGACAGGGTCTAAGGTGTTGCAATACGACTAGTTATTATTCTCCATCATCCTCTTGTCATGTTCATTAAGGCAAGGGGAAGATTGGGCGAGAAGCTGGCTGGCTGAGAACTGCCACACAATAGTGCCTGAGGAGGAGGCTTTCGGCAGATCCGTAAGCCAATTTGCTCATTTCCTGGCCCCGCTTCGAGAGCCTGCATCACAGGGCCCATCCCGTGTGTTTTGGGCTCAGACTCAGCTGACTGTCCTGCCGGAACATGTCATGTCGATGAGTCTGAAGCTTCTGAGCTATCACTTCATGTTGTGAGGCTTGTGATGTGCACATGTGACTTCACAGTCTACCCGAGCAACTCCAAGATGGTTACCAGTGTGCAAGAGCAGCTGTGCACGGCCTTGAACATGTCGGCTGACCACTTCGGTCACATTCAGTTGCCTCAGAACCAGGCACAAACCCAACAGAGCGTGGCAATCAAGCACCGCCGCAGCCTGGAGGATGGACTGCTTTCGCGGTCCATGGATCTGAGCAGGCATGTCACCATGTTGTTCAAGAAGGAAAATGTTCGTGCATCAGACAAGCGGCCCGGCACCCAAGCCTGCTATGCTGTCTTCTCGGCCCACAAGAAGGTCACTTAGTCAATCTTATTTCTAAGTCTGATGGAGCTCTGAGCAGGATTGTGCTTAGTCCCCAGGCTTCCCATTATTGCAAAACTCCGACTCAGGTTGCACAAAGTGCTTGGAGCACTTCCGAGCCTCTGCAAACCAGCTTCATCCCGGACCTCCCGCTCATCAGTGTGGCAAACATGCGAGGGTACGACCAGGACAATCGGCCTGCAGGTTCAGCTCGCGTGGAACAGCAGCTTGACTCATGCATCTGGTCTCCCAGCCTGCTTTGTGGAAACAGCCACCGGTCACTGTCATCCATGTCTAGCTTCCTGACAGGAAAGGAACCGAATGCCACCAAGCCATTGTGGAGGCCTATCTTGACGGCCTGAACCTTGCCGAGAACGATAAAGTCGTGATCTTCGACCTGCTCCCCAACCGGTGCACTGTTGTGCAGATGGACTGTCTACCGTGCTAGTCTGTCGCTGTTCCAATGCACAACACAGTTCGCAAGACACCTGTTGCAGGTATGCAGAATTCGGCTTGGCTTTGTGCCAGAGGGCTTTGGAGGGAAAGACACCGACAGCACTCTACTTTGGTGTGCTGCGGGCAGATCAGAAGGATGTGCAGTCGGAGATGTTTTCCATGGCTTACAGCCACTGGGATGGAAGCTCCTTGTCCCCTCCAATGTCCCGGCCCGTCGAAGGCCTTTGAGAAGAGAGCTTGACACCACTCAACCTGCTCACCTGGTCCAATGGGAGGCCTGGATGGCCCACCGATGTGCTGAGCAAGTTTTTGCCTGGAAGCAAGGAGCATGAGCACATCTCGAAGATCAAGCACGACTTTGAAGTGCTGTGCCCGGCTGCTGACGTCGCCCCGCCTGCTGCGTCCTCGGCAAACCCGGCTCGTGCGCAGGGCTCCCCTGACTTCAGCGTCGATGGTGGCAAGCAGCCCTTGGATGTGACACGTTTGCTCGACCTGCAAATGATCGCCAACGATGACTTCAATGAGCCGAGGCCATACACATCCTAAGGTCATGTTATTAGCTATTAGTCTGTCTGTTCATTGGAATCTAACTAACTATCTGCTAGTCTGTACTCTCCCAGGAACCAGATTAGTAATTGTATTAATTTCGAATGACCCAGAGAGCATTAGACATTGTATGACATCTATCGAGTGCCATGACCAGCTTGCGAACTTTAAGCCCAGTATGCAGGATGGCTGTTGCGGGTGGTGCCCGTGGAAAGCCCACAGTGGTGATTACGGAGGGTTTCCACATTTACCTCGGCAACGACGGGAACAGTCGCTTGAACCTCAATGCCACCGAGCTGTTTGGGTTTAATGTTGGCCAATTCACTGAAAAGATCATTGAAGGCGGGCTGATCTGAGGAGCTCTCAGCACTGTAATAATGTGTTAGTTCTTGACAATACACAGTCGATTCTGAAGCAGGCCTGGGCCATGAGACTACCGGTATCGTCTGGAGACTGCCGGACGATTTGGCGTTCGTGGCTGTGGACAAGCGTGTTGTGTGCGTTTGCAACTACTTTCACGAGCTGGTGGTCCAGCACGGGCGGTATGTGTGCTTGCTCACGAGTGTTTGGTAATGTTTTGCATGCTTGCTGCACTCATGACATTCCATGTGCATTGCAGCAAGCAGGCTCGCAGCTGCCAACTCGCCTGCATAGCGGGCAGAAACTTTTGTAGGCTAACGGGCCTCGCTTTGTAAGCCCTCTAGAACAGTTCTGGAGGCTCTCAACTTTTGTGGATTTAGCTCCACTCCATTCCTCTCCCGCTCGCGATAGGGGGAGGAGTGCATGGTTTCAGGCCATTTGGCTTTTGCGACTTTACAGTGCATTTGGCTTTTCATTTGCATTATGGATCAGTCAGTGCCTGTGAGCGATTTGTCAGTGCCTGAGATTGATGCATCGGCTTCACTCGCAACAGACATTGCTATTTCTGACCAGACTCGTTGCATTGTCAAGCGATTTCAGAAACGGTCTTCATCCCAGCAGGAAGGCTCGCCGACTTTAGATGCCTCGCCTTCTGCAGTTGTTCTTGATGCTGTAGTTGCTTCGTCTCAGGGTGCCCTGGAGGTGGATCCATTGCACCCATCATTGGCTTTATCTGCTCAGGACTTTGATCAGGAGGCTCCATTGCTCCCGGAGGTGGTCATCTCTGGCAATGATGTTCAGCAGGGGCCACAGCTGGACCCTGAAGGTTTTTCATTTGGGTCACGACCCCCTTCCCCAATCTATGACCCTGATTTTGAACTGGTAGATCCACTGGAAGAGTCTTTGACACAACCTGTGGCAGTCTCTGCAGTGCATTCGGGTTCCTGTTCTTGGGATGTGATTTCACCTGTGCCTGCGACGAAACCTGCATTTTGCTCTACGGTTTCATCTGGCTTCTCCCCACTTCGTGTGGGCCGTCTCTCTTTTGCAGAGACTGACAGGGAGATGGATTCACCGTTGCTTCCGGCAGTCTCGCAACAGGATCTTTCATTTTCTCAGATGGAGGACACCTTGCATCCCAAGCCGGCTCCCTTAGCTAGGCCAGCCACCCTCACTGCTGGAGGTGCTCGTGCTACAAGCTTGCATCCCACGGGTGTCAGGTCGACAGAACATGCAAAATCGAGGCCGATTTTTCCGCTGAGGGCCTCCATTGGAGTGCCCACAACGGCGCCAAAACCTCGCCCGGTGCCTTCTGCTCGTGGTTCGTATGCTCGGTACCCATCGGAGCACTTGCATTCTGCTTCTCAGGTGTCGGGGGCTCTCTCGAAGAGTTCGCCTCCATCTCAGGTTGCAGGGAGTTCTCTCCATTCTGGAGGGGCCCCGGAGCCGCAGTCGAGTCAGTTGGTGCCCAAGGGTCCTGGCTCCAAGCGAGGCATTGATCTCTTGCATTCAGGAGCAAACAAGGGCAGCTCCAAGGTTGTCAAGCATTCCGAGATCCATTCCAGTCAATGGTCCCGGGCCCTTCAGTTGTGGGCTGAGCTGTGCGAATTCGCATTATCATGTTCTACATTGCTTGGTGACATTTTCAACAGCTCTAATAAATACCCCCTTTTGGAGCAATTGCTCCGCCGAGTGTCGGACACGACGGCGCTGCGATACATTGCGATTATGTGGCAGCTTTTGCATACGATTCGCGACCTGGGTCTTGACATTACATCACTGTCTCAGGTTCAGCTTATTGACTCAATTCATACATTACAGCGCTCTCGCAGCCATCACTCTTCGGTACATTCCATCAATGTGCTCAAGGCGGTGCGATGGTTCTCTTCAACAGTGCAACCCTCGGGCTTTCCTTCATTATATGATGGATTGTTTCATGCCAGGTCATGGCAATCGCAAGGTGCCGCTAAGGAGGCTTTACCTCTTCCATTATCGTTCGTACTGTGGCTGGAGTCTCAAATTGTTTTCGGCCACTTTACATTGGAAGAGACTGCTTTCGCGGGGTCAGTGTTAGTTTGCATTTGGTGCAGCTTGCGGTTTGGCGACTCACAACACATTCAGTTGTCGGACCTGTGCATTGACTTCGATAGCTTTCGAGGTGCATCTTACAGAACGAAAACACAAAAATTTATGGCTTTCGGCTGCCTTTTCTCAGGACTCTTGCGACTGCCCCGCACACAATGCTGGCTTTTGCATTGGCTGTCAGCTCTTGAGAAACTTATGGATTTACATTCGGATCCTTCGGACATACCGGACTATATTTTCTTCCTGCTGGACAAGGAGTGCATTAGACCTCTGACTTACGCAGAGTGCCTTTCGAGGCTCAGACGTTTGCTGGTCATGTGGAACCAGCTGCCACCGGGTCAGGAACTCCAATATACATTACATTCCATGAAGGTTACATTGCTTTCCTTCTTCAGGCAACTGAACATGTCGCTTGAATTGAGGCACCTTCAGGGCCACCACAAGCATTCTGCTTCTTGTGTTTTATATGGGCGAGACGACGTCTCTCCATTACTTCTGGCTCAGGACAGTTTCATTGAGAGAGTGCGAGGAGGCTGGCGATCTCGAACTCCATTAATGCGTGGAGTCACCTTTATGCCTCTCGAGCCGGCTTTGCATTGGCCTCCGGACCTCGGGACAGTGCTGTCTGCTGCATTGCCTGTTTTCTTCAGGTTGGATACATTACCGCCGTCTTCTTTGCCATCGACCGATGTACCCTCAGCTCCCTCTGCATCAACTGCTCTGGTAGAGGATGTGATTCCATCTGCTTTGCCTGAAAAGGCCCCGGAAGAGGCGGAAACGAGCAGCTCGGAGGGCGAGCTGGGCGAGGCTGAGGAGATTGCTTTCCTCAGTGCAACCACTAGCTCCATCATACATGCTTGCATTGAAGGCAAACCGGCTTGCGGCTGCCGGGGAACCTTCCATTTGGTATCGCACCCACCTGCGGGCTCGCGATTTTGCAAGTCAAAGCCTTGCATTTCCATTCTCACGAACCTTTCGTGACATTGTCGGGCGTCTGACAAAACATTGCATTTATCTGCAATTGCGACTGCGAGTGATTTCATCAATGCCTAATACTCCCTCTTGAGTGCCAGTGCGGGCATTTGCATTGCATACCTCTGCAGTGGAGTGCTCAGATGATCCGAGATGAATGGCAGGCATCATGTGACCGACATTGCACTTCTTGATTTGCCTTAAGCTTGTACAGTCACTGATTTGCATTTGCATGGCTTGATGTCACACCTTGCAGTTTCATTACCTTTAGTTTCCCTCTGAGCTGTGCATTTTGCCACTCCGCGAAATTTTGCATCATGGAGAACATCCGCAACACCGAGGAGGTTCGGAAAGCCCTGAGCTTCATTTACAATTCCGATGTCCACCAAGTCGTCAGTTGCATTAGGGGCGGACCGGAGGCTGGCAAAAGAAAGCTGTTGCTTATCAGTGCCATGAGTTACCAGCTGTCCTCCGCTACCCCTACATCGTCTCCTCCGAAGTCTGACAAGACCTCCATTGAGGAGGACAAGAGCACTGCACCCCCGCAGGAGGAGACGAAGAATGATGCATCAAGTTCTGGGTCGGCTGGTGCATCAGATGTGGATGCACCTTCCACTGCTGATGCACCCCAGACACCCCCTTCGGGGACGGCGACAGCAGGGGATCCCACTACATCCCCGCCTCCTGCGGCTGCGACTACATCCCCGGCTCCACCGATACAGCCCATTCACAGCCCTACATTCCTTCAGGAGGGCACGGGGGGCCACAAATGCCCTGTGGCTACCCGACAGCTTGTATGCTGTCGCTCCGAGTGTGACACTGATGGTTGCATTGCACTCTGCGGATACAGTTCCGAGGTGCCAAACGACAGCCATTTCATTGCATCATCGACCCGCCACTCTTGCAAGGCGTGCTATCGTGCACGCATGCATTCCAAAGAGTCCCATGATCCTGGTGCATCAAGTACATCATGGGACCAAGAATGGGGAGATGATCAGTGGAGTCACGGCGACAGCTGGAACTGGTGGCGTCGCGGAGGATACTAGTTGCATTCTCCAGTGTGCATTATAAGGGTTTACGAAAACCGTTTCGGCAAGGGCTTGTGGCAGGAAACCCACTCAGACCCTTCTCCCCACTCCATCACGACCCACCCCCACCCACCAGCCCACCCACCGGCTCAAACGGCTCAAACAGGGCATGTTAGTCCAGCGCGTGCATTCAAAAATCCTTAACGGCTCAAACAGGACGTGTTAGGTCCAGTGCGCGCACTCAAAAAAACCTTAACGGCTCAAACAGGACGTGTTTGTCCAGGGCGCGCACTCAAAAAAAATCCTTAAAGCCCTAACCCCTAAACCCGAAACCCTAAATCTTGAGAACACGAACTGAAAGTTGTTTGCTCTGGCACGAAAACCTTTCCTTCTGATTTTTCCAGCCTCGAGTCTTCACATGTTGATATATTGTGAAAGAGCGGCCACATGTGTGCGATCGAATGCCTGTACATCAGCAGATTCACAGCTCGGCATGTCGTTTGAGACATCGATTTGCTCATTTTGCTTGATCAGTAGCCAGCAGAGCAGCAGATTTGATTTGCCGTTCGAGATATCGTGCAATTCGCAGCTTGTGACAGCTGCGAAGTAGCTTTCGCGTCAAGGCAAAATATGACACAACAGATGTGCACACGGAAAATGAATCTAACCGAATCCAAACAGCCAAAGAGCATGTGAACGAGTGACAGAACAGAGCTCGGTAGCACAGCGATGCAGATTTTCACGATGGTCGTCCTTTGGCTGTGCAGCGTGGCGCACCCAAGACAGCGCATGACCATCGACGGACACGCGCATCACTTGAGATTGGAACGAAACTCTGCATGGTTCAACGGCTTGTTGCAGGATTCGGGAGTACCTTGTTGTTGGACGACGACCCACGTTCTTCATGCCGACAAGTTCAAACTGCAGGGCGTCTTGCAGATTGATGCAAGAGATGTGCAGTCTTGGAACGGCTCTTTGACGTCCTGGTCCCGGGAAGGTATGCTGTTACATGATTACTATCACAATCCATTAGACAGCTTCATTGTGCGAGCAAAATCTGTGTTCAAGCTGGACGATACCCGGCCAGTGTATACGAAGAGGGACAACAGGATGCGGGAGTCGCAGTTGTCAGGGGCTGATGGCATTTTTCAGCCTTCAGGTCTGGATTTCAACGTTTTATCTTCATGTCTTGGAAGTGAGCGACATGTCCACGATGCTTTCGGTCGTGCTCCAAGCAGAGCGACTTTGTGCGATGTTTTGCAGCGCTGGGGCGTTCAACCAGACGGGTTTGATAGCATTGCAGCTTGTATGTTGCCTGAACCCATATCCGAGCTGGTGCTTCAAGGTCGTTGGCAGGATTTGCTTTGGTTAGGTAGGTGGGGTTGGTTCAAATCTCCATTGTGTCAGCGAGGCATCATGTGGGAAGGTTTTGTGGTCCCTCCTGCTGTTCAAGCAGCCACAGGCCAGCACGAGGTTTTGCGTTCAGAACCTTTGAACTTGCTTGAAGTGGAAGGTTTTCTCAAGAGTCTTCGTCGATGGAGTCCCATTGTTTTGAGCCATTGCAATTCAGCAGAGGAGCTTGCTGGAGAACAGCTGCAGTTAGAAACATTTGCGACGTGGCTACGACAGCTGTTGTTGTATTTTCGGCCATATTTTGCAACGGAGATTTCAGAGTTACAGGCCCAGCAGAGGCCAGACTTGAAGGGCCATCAGCGGTACTCCCATTCCCAACTACTTGGCATGGTCTTGTTTGCCTGGCACTTGCGAGATTCAGCTGCGTTGAAAGATGTCATGCCTAGTGCACTGCAGGCAATTATGCCAGATTTTTTTGCATTGACGAGTGTTGCCAAAGGAGTACAGGTGATGAAGCAAAGCAAATCGCTTCTACGGAATGCCCAGCTTGGAGTAGACATAGCACTTATGCTCGTCAGACGCAGGCAGCTGCAAGCGTCTGGGCCTTCAGCACGTTACGGGTGGGCGGATTCGTCAGCTGTTGCCAAAAGCGATTGGTTGATATCTAAACATCAAACAGTCCCAGAAAGCCGTTGCCCCGACTTGTGGCAATCTTGGGCTGACCTTGTGCATTCCACAGCTGCGGACAACGACAATGAGCAGGAGGCTCCAGATGCCGCTGTAGCTTCCCGAAGAAAAGCACTAACCCGAGAACTCATGGCAGGGGTCCGTGTGCACACTCAGCCACCGCAGGCTTTAGCCCTCGGCTTAACAGCGATTGAAAGTAAACTGGCAGCTCTTTTGTATAGCTTTTTCTTGGAGGTTGGCAGCATGAAGGGGCTGAAATCTTTTTTGAGCACCTTTGTTTCTTTCACCACCGATATGGGCACGGAAATGGGAACAGCTTCTTTCATTCTGGATGATTTGCAGAAGCTTTTGCCAGAGTGGCTAGCGGAGCCGCTGCTCAACCCAGACATTGACGAAGGTGGAGAAGATGAGAATAATGGAGCCTTTGAGGGGTTGACTTTGTTCATGCCGCGTGCAATTATCATTCCTGGCGCATTGCATGTTTGCAGTAATCTCTGCAAAGATGTTTCTGGGAAGCTCAGCCGTTGGGATCCATTCTTGAAAGAGCTGGCTTTGTTCGAAGCTTTGCTTTGCAACCGTGACAGGCGTGAACGCTTTTTGGCCACATGTGTTTCTGCAGATTCAGAGGATCGCCGGCTGTTCAAGGATTTCAGCGGGAGTTTGTACGAGAAGCGGTGGGGGGCTGTGATCAGTTTTCTGCGGAAACTCGTGCCCCTGCTAGCGGCATTGGAGAAACACTGGAACCATGACAGATATCTTCATGCGTATCAACAAAGGGACGGGGCTAATGCAGATGAAGGCGTGCGATTTGTAGCTGCTGATTTGACCGCTGCGCTTGGAAGCAGTATGTTTCATGCGTACATTCAGATGGTGATGTCCTTGTTCAACGTCGTTGAAGATCTTTCATCTTGGTTCGAAGGATGTGCATGCCACCAGGCCCAACTGAAACGGCACAGAGGCAAGCACATGCGTTCTTCACGAAAAGAGATTGAGCTTTGCGGTCCATATGCTTTTTGCCCGATGAAAGGCAAGCGAGCCCCTGAGCTTGCAGCAGGATGCTTGAATGATGTATTTAGCAAGCTGGTGAACCTCGGCAAGACTTCGCTGTTGAAGGTCACTCAGGTCCGCAAACTTGAGGGGCAGGATGAAGCGTTAGTGATGCAAGATTTCGAGGCAGGACGTAGCTACATTCAACTCGGTCTGCAGGTAAAAATGAACTTTTGGGGCAAACTACCATGGCGGCTTGCAGTGCTAAGTCACACAGATGCAGCTGTGGCCAGGGCAGCTGCAGCCGACATGTTGGAGACAACTGCTGGGTTGGCTGGTTTCGAGGGAGATGCATCCTTGGTCCATCATCCAATGACTTTGCATTTCTTGGGCAGTGGTAGCTTACTTCGTCCCATGATCCAGGACTTTGCAAGCGGAGAACCCATGCATGATTTCCTGCGGTCTGAAGCTTGCAAGCTGGCTTTCATGCCAGTTGTTGAGCGTAGCATCGAGGCCAAGCATTCATTGATATCTCGGAGGGTGCAGAAGAATTGGAGGTCCGGCCGGATTGTCTCATTGACTCTGCGAGTGCCAGACATCAAAGCAGAAATGGCAGCCGATGCCACGTATCTGCAAACCTTGGTTGAGGCCTTTGCCCAGACTCGAGATCCCATGCAAGCTGCACGTCAGCTTGGCATTCAAGAGCACCCAGATCTTGTGAATGCCGTGTTCGACAGATGGCACCATGCACGTGTCACTGGCATTGTGAACAGGATTGTTTATCGCTGCGACCTGCAATCTAAGTTTGAATCTCATGCAGCAGCACGTGCAGGACATGACCGGGAATCAGGTAAACGGGCTCGCCTAGCACAAAAAGAAATGCAACGGATCGTTCAGGCTCCCCAGGCTCCCCCTGCCAAGCCACGCACACAGGAGGAGAGATACACAGATATGCTGCGACTTGCGATTGAGGACCACTTTACTCACGTGGCGTCAGCTTGCTCTCAGCCTTGTGTGTATTCTTTGGATCTGTCCTCGGATCCCACAGGTGGTGCGCCTGCCCTAACAGCCTTAGATGCAGCATTGGAGGGTCAAGGGGTTGCAGGTGTTGCCAGAGCCACTGATGGCCCTCGTCTCATGTCAGATGTAGACGATGTCACCGAGGAGCCAAAGCTCTACTTTCAAGATGCCGAGATTGTGCACTTTCAAGTTGTACATGCGTCCCCGGGCAACATGCACACCGTTCCTATGCCACGAGCTGCCGGCACACGTTTGAGCAAAGGGCAACACGCCGTCTCCATCCACTCTCTCGTTGAGGATGGTGATGGGTTCAGACACATTGCTCTAGAGCCTGTCAGACAGGGCCAAACCTCTGTTGCAATCCTGTCAGGACTCGCTGCCGGTAAGTTGGATGTTTTGCAGGAAACCTTCACTCAGTTTTCGATGGGGCCTCTGTCATACAACATCAAAGGTTTCAAGGCTCAGGGCTGTTCTTGCAGTGCAGAAGTTTCGCAGCTTGTGCGTTGTTGTGCGTTCCCAGCTACAGATGGACGTTGCAAAGTTCCCCTCGAAGATGGTCGTGTCCCCAGGCAATGGGAAGAGCTTGAAGCAGCCGGCTTCATTGAGTGTGTGTCAGAAAATGAAGACAACGTGAAGGCGTATGTCTTCACCGAGGCTGGTGCTGCAGGTATTCAGGCAGTCGTCACATTGGTCGAACCCAAGCTTGTGTGTCAGCCTCGCAGCGACATCGCCCTCAGCGATTTGAGTGCGTATGAACTCATGAGAAAACTTGAGGATTCTGGTTGGTCTTGGTCATGTTTGCCTGCCAAAACCCAACAGAAGAAAGAGCTGTGCTTTTCGGCAGGCAGCGAGAAGACGTATTACTTCGGTAACGGGTTACCTAGCCCCTTGTATCTTCAATGCCTACTTCGAGCCGAAGAACTACATGAGCTAGGAGTTGTATCGATTCCCCACTACTCTCCCACACCTTCGACAACATACCGGCGATTGCTGCAGGGTGAGGCCCCTCTTCAGCCACGTGCACGGCTGGCCTTGCTTCAGGATGTTGATGAGGCTGGGGAGTCTTTGGAGCCTTTAGAGTTGCAGCCGCCGTCTGATTTTGTTTTGGACGAAGATCAGAATGCCGACACGTCGCCTCGACACGCTACCATGGAAGAGATCGAGGAAGCTCTAGGGTGGTTTGACAGCCCTGAGGAATCCGATGGGGACCATAGGCGCACTGCAACACCACCTGCTCATGTGGAGTCGCTGCCTGCTGGTGATGACGTTTCTTTGGGACATGAAGCAGAGCCTGCAGACCCTGCCTCTGCGCACGGTGAGGCTTCTGAGGCCTCAGCAAGAGATCGCATTGTTCAGCCAGGGTCCGTGAGTAGATGGGGTTGTTTTCGCATCAGCAGGCTCGTGCCGAAGCCGCCCTTTAGGAAGTACGGTGCTCTGGAGGCTGTTTGCCCTTTTCATATGAGAAACGAGAAATCTGAATGCAAAAAGTTTATTGGGCACAAAACCGATAATCCCGAAGATCATGACTTGGATTACAAAGCTTTGTTGCACTGGTGCAACCAAGCGTCTGCTTTCAACAGGCAGAAGCACCATGTTGGCAGCCAGTTGTTATCACAGGAGTCAGCAAGGGGCCTCAGTATGGATATGTTGCGTGCCCACTGCATACACGATCCCCCGAGTGAGCCTCCCATACCCGACAGCGTTTTGGATGCGCCAGCTCCGAAAGCAAAGGCAACATCCAGAGCGAAGAAGAAGGGCAGCATGGCGCCTCCTCCCGTTCCGGATGTTGTTGTCCGAAGAGCAAGAAAGAAACAAAAGCCAGTCCAGGCTACCAGTGCATTGCCGTCAGAACCTGCTGCAGCAACAGCTTCAGTGGAAGCAGCACCTGCTACCACCGGAAGCTCCAGCTCTTCTTCATCTTACTCCGGGTCAGGCAGTGTTGCCTCGCAATCGAGTGGGAGCGAGTCTGACTCCAGCAGTAGCAGCAGCTCAAGCTCGTAAGTTGTGGATGCTTGCTTGTTTTCCACCGGCTAGCAGACAGCATCGAATGCATCGAGTGAAAACAAATCATTCTCTGTGAAGGTGAGCCCTGTGCTTCTCTGGATTGTTAGGGATCTACGTAAGGTTCCGATTCGGGCCTCTATGTTGGCTTTTTCCCATCACAGTGCATCACAGGTCTCAGGTATACGTAGTTTCTATAGTGGGGCTGTGGGGTGGGCGGTGTGTTGGGACAGCTTTGTGTGAAAGGTTGGAGGGGTTGTGGGGCCACTGGGAAGAAGGGCCGTTTTGTTGGGGTGGTGGTGGTGCCTATACAGCAGAGTCCAAGTGTACGGCTTGTGTGATGCTTCTGGGCTCTGTTAAAGCCGACACAAGCTGTGCAAAACGCGCTTGGTGACGAACAGAGGCCTATGTTGCGTGATGAAGAGTGTTCTCCCTCAACATGTGCCTTTTTTGGATCTGCCCTCAGTGAAATTCAGTGAAATGGTGGTTTGCCTCCGATTCGACAGGTTTGGCAGCTACATGTGTGGTTTCAGGCAGATTGGTGGGTAGCTGCACTGTTTGACCCAGTTCAGGCATGATGAGGCGTGGGGGGAGCCGTTTGGGGATGTCTGTGGCGTCGGCTCGACCTGCTCGACCCTGCTCGACCCTTGGCTCGACCTGCTCGACCCTGCTCGACCCTTGGCTCGACCCTTGGCTCGACCTGCTCGACCCTGCTCGACCCTTTGCTCGACCCTTGCTCGACCTGCTCGACCCTGCTCGACCCTTTGCTCGACCCTGTTGCCTGGCTTGCCCCGCCCAATGTTGGTGGTTTTGGGGCCTGGTTTTTCAGTGTGGGTTCTGGGCTGTATTTGTGGGCATCATGAGCATCATTCCGGTCTGTATGGGCACCATGAGCATCATTCCCTTCTCCTTTTCTGTCTCCGTTCTCATTTTCTCTTTCTGGGGGGCCCCTCCCTGGCCTGCGGCTAGCTATGGCTGGCTGCGGCCTAACTGTGGGCGTCATTCTCTTTCTGGGGGGCCCCTCCCTGGCTGCCTGACTCTGCAGCCTAACTGTGGGCGTCATTTCTCCTTTCTGGGGGGCCCCTCCCTGGCCTGCGGCTAGCTGTGGCTGGCTGCGGCCTAACTGTGGGCGTCATTTCTTTCCGGGGGGCCCCTCCCTGGCTGCCTGACTCTGCAGCCTAACTGTGGGCGTCATTTCTTTTCTGGGGGGTTGATTCGGGTTGATCTGTAGCATCATGAGCATCAATCAGTCTCTCTCCTTTTGATATTCAAGAAACTCCTTTTGTATTTCTGGGAAGGGTTCCGTTCCTTTCCTTTCTCAGATGCCCCAGTGCTTGGATCAGCTTTGCAGGCGGAACTCAGTTGACTCTGCACATAGCGCTTTGGCAAGTGCGGGCTGGAGCGACGCTGCAAAGTCCTTCGTGTGGTTGAAGAGCAAGGCTCAAATTTTCATACATGGGAGGCCTGGGCCTTTCTTTCAGGCTTTCATCATGACTCTGTGGCAGCAGCCATTGGCCATGCCCACAAACTCACAAACCCGCAGATTCTCGAAAGATCACAGTGTAGAAATGTGTTGCAAAACCCAACAGCTGTCGTTTGTACCTTTAGGCAGCAACATGTTGGCTCACGATGCTCTTGAAGCGGATGTTGATGGAGTGACTGTTGAGTCGCCGCAACGCCGAAGACCCAAGCGTTGCAGGCCAGCTGTGGGCAGCCATTGCTGCAGTTGGCATGAGTTTCTTGACAAAGTCTCGCTTCAACATCGTGTGTCAGGCTGGAGAACGAGGATGAACCGGGAATTCCAGACCAAGCAAGAGCCCCCGATGTGGACTCGTCAGACAGCGGGCCCAAGTCCTTTGAGGAGATGATGGGCTGGGCCAAGAAGCTTCTGAGTTCAGTGTTGGCTTTCATATCCATGAAAGGTGTGGGCGAAGCTGCAATGCTGAAACGGATCTTCAGCATGAAGCTGCTGGTCACGACATCGTATAGTGGAATCGGTGTGCCAGAGCTTTCCTTGCATTTCTTGCAGGATGCTTTGCGTTCACACCGCGGCGGTGGCGAGCTTTCATTTCGCATCCATGCAAGCACAGAGATTGACCGTTTTTGTCGGCAGATGCTTGAAGCTCATCACAAGCAGACTGGGAGCCACCATCTGTTCGGGGATCTTCTTGAAAGGGTCGCCAAACAAGACGTGGAAGCTTTGCAGGACCTGCAAGGCAAGTACAAAGAGCTCTTCAATGCAGAGGTTCAGCGTCGGTCTGAGAATCTCAGCCCGGCCCAGCGAAAGACTTTGGTGTCGAAGTATGGCCGTGCATTTGTTGCAGCATCCTTAGAGTATCTTTCCAAGAACGCGAGCCTCAGCAGGGCAAGTGAGTGCTACTGCTACAAGCATGACAGGTGCTGCCGGATATGGCCGGAGAACAACCAAGGCCAAAACACGATGCACCTGGAGGTAGCAGGTGTAACATGCACTCCCTGGTCCATGTCAGGAAAGCAGATGGGTTGGTTGGACCCCAATTCCTTGCCGTGCGTCGTGTGGATGTTCAGCATGCAAGTAGCTTCTCCAGGCATCATTGTGAATGAGTGCACTCCGCTTTTCGATGTGGAGATCTTGGAACGATTTCTGCAAGAGACACATGTTTGTGCCACACATGTGTTCGGCCCAACAGACATGGGCGTCCCATGCAATCGTGTACGTCGGTACACAGTGCTGATCAGAAAGGATGTGTCGCGTGATCTGGGGCTCTTCTCGCAGGACACCTTTCGTCAGCTCATCGAGGCGCCTATGGCCACAGATGCAAGCGTCTTCTTGAGGGCATCGCCCCGCCAAATCCAAGCCTTCATGAATGACATGGCAGAGCAACGAGGTCTGCATCCACAGGGGAGCCAGGGCTACAGTGTAGAAGTCCTGCTCAGTCCTTGGATGAGAAGGCAGCTTGCGAAGTACAAGAGCGTGCTCCAAGAGTCTCCGCGGTATTCTGGCAAAGCAGCAGTCTTCGTGGATCTTTCCCAGGATGCGGAGCAGCGGCCGAGAGTCAGTGATATCATTCCGTGCATTCTCCGAAGCTCATTCCTTTACTCAATGCAAGCCGGTCGACCATTGCATCCTCTCGAGATTTTGGCGGTGCAGTGTTTGCCTGTGACCTTGGATCAGGAGAGTGCATTCGTCGGGTTTTGCCCATGGCCTGTAGAGCTGCTGGAGTCCTTGTCACGGAATCAGGCGACCAACGTTGCAGGCAACACGATGTTTCTGCCTGCAGTGGGCAGTGTGCTCTTGCTTGCACTTTTGTCTGCGTGTATGCCAGCGTCAGAGTGATGGCACAGCGTAGTTGTAGGATGTAGTGCGCAGAGTGCAGCAGCGTGTGTTGGGCTTCACAATACTTTGCTTTTCGTGAAATATCATTGTGCCAGTGCCATCGTGATATGTTAATATGATCGCACCATTGATTGATGTTGTCTCAGAAGCCAGAAGCCCCGAAGCAGTTTGAAGGCCACTTCGTGAGGAGGTGGATCGACGGTTCATCCTTCAAGAGGTTGTGCTGTGTGCAATGAAAATCAGACTTTAGGCTTAGCGGTGGGCGAGTGACATGTTCGTGCGAGAAGTTGGCAGTTTGGAGCAGACACGAGCCGTAACCTGGGCCAAGGTTTTTTTGCTCGAAGGGGGAAGTGACTGACCTGACAGGTGAAATCGTCGCCAGCTCAGCATGAAGCGAGGCATGTCAGAGTTCCAGCTCAGCCTTGATTGCGATGCCGGTGAAGCATCCGATGGCCTCACGGATGCAACACAAGGGCCAGGAGGGGAAGACGTTCATGATCCTCCGCCTGCCCCGCACAAGTCAGCATCAGCGAAGTCGAGGGGCGCCAGGCACAAAGCCACCAGCAAGGATGCTAAAATTTTCCGCGTGTGCAAGGCCTGCCAGCAAAAAAAGTCCGAGGCCGAATTTGCTGCCAATCAGGCAGTCGATATGGAGTGCAAGAGGTACTTGGACAGCATCGCGAAGCAGTCGCGAAGCCAAGGTCCGGAAGCAGTGGCATGGTTTCAGGAGACGAGGAGTGACCCTGCTAAGTGCCGCAAAATGATAGAGTCCTACAAAACGGCTTACAAGGCCTGGGTCGCGAACGGCAAACAGGGCAAGCTCAAGTGGAGTGTTGTGCAGTATCGGGAGAGCCTCTCTGCTGAGTCAGGCACACGTTGCTCCGAGAATCAGCAAATGATGTGGGAGAAGCAAGCCTTACTCTTCTGGCAATCCGTTGATGGCGGATGCCTGACAGAGGAGGAAGCTGAGCAGAAGTGGAAAACCATGGAAGCTCTGGCAAAAACCGGCGAGGTTCTGAGCGACAAGAAAGGACCGGAGCGTAAGCCTCTTCGCCTCGCCGTTACCAGAGAGGAAATGGTGTACAACTACAACGATGTGTCCAGGAAGCGGACCCTTGAGTTCAGTGACAAGCCCGTGAAAAAGATGGATGATGCTGCTCTCGCCAAGAATGTCAAGCGAGTCCTCTCCAGCCACGACAACATTGCAAGTTCTTCCAGCGGGGCGTCTGTGATGCCAGAGGGAACCCAGCTGTCCCAGCTGATGTTGCAAGGAGGTGCGGGCCATGCCTTTGATGGTGCCAGCTTGAAGGTTGGACAGGTGCAGAACCTTGTGCCCGAATCATCAGACGATGAGCCGCTCGAGACCCCATCAAAGAAGGCGAAACAGGAGGACGAGCTTGGAGGAGAAGATGATGAAGCGGACGAAGGCAAAGACTCCAAAGACAACGTTGACAAGAAGGGCGGTGATAAGTGGTTCGATAAGGATCGGGCCGTCAATGCCGCCCAGAAAATCTTGGCCGCTCAAGAAAAGAAGGTTGTAGATCTTCACCAGCAGCGGGTTCAGGAGTTGAAGTCTGCCTTGGAGATGATTGCAGGTTTGCCGGCAGAGGACAAGGCTCACTTTGCAGGCGAAGAGAAGATTGCAACTGTGCGGCTCAGGTTCCTGGAAGCGATCGATGACAAGCAGAATGTTCTGGACGAGCTCATTGAAAAGTTCCAGGCCCCAATCTCGCCCAGCAAGCCCGAGGTTTCGGAGACGGCTTCAATGGCGGGTGTTGTTGCACTTGGCAACTCCCCGCCTTGCAAGATGTTTGCACACCTGAGGCTTCTCGTGGAGCTGAGTATGTGCAAGGACGAGGTGCTCGGTTGCAACACACCGGCGGAGATCAACGAACAAAAGAAAGTGTTTGCCAGGATCAAGGCCCCATTCGTTGACCTGCTCGCTTCGGCAACAGCTGCTCGTTTTGTAAGGGGTATGGTGTTTGTTGTTTTGTTCGGTTGTGGTGGTTTCTGAATTTGAACTTGTGTTATTTCCTGGTGTGCTGCAGGTTGTTCTGAACGACATCAAGAAGGTACAGAGACTTATTGCGACCGAGAAGACCAAGGCTGCGACAGCTAAGGCGAAGCCGCCGGGGAAGAAAGACCCGTCTGGTTCGGCACCACAACATCCCATTTTCGAGGAAGCCGCCAGCATGGCTGCGAAGCTTGAGCCTGTCGCTGAGTCCGACTGGAAGGGTTTGCAATTGGACGTGCCGGCCATCGTGGACATCGAGCCGGACACCCTGGGCAAGGTCTTCGGCACGGAAGCCAAGCTTGCCCTCGGCCAGCTGAAGAAGATGTTCAAGGTGGGCAATGCCCAGGCACCGCGTGCAGAGGTGGCGTTGGACCTCGTTATCATTCGCGCCATCGCGAGCACCCTGGAGCAGAAGATCCCCCAGGGCATGATGTTCTACAATGGCAAGGCGGATGCAGTGGCCACCACGGCCAAGGACTTGTCCGACCAGCTTCACAAGGCCATGTTGACAACGGGTTATGCCATCAATACTGGCCATGCTACCTTCGCAACGGAGAAGATGTTCTTGCCATGCCTGCGCTTTGCAAGCGAAGGCATCCGCCAGATTGTGCTTTTTCCGTATGAGAAGTTGGCGAAGCACTTGTCGCCGGAGGCAAAGGACATTTTCGATGGGCAGGTCAAGCAGGGTGCAACGCAGTTCCTCAAGTTCTGCAGTTCGGACAAGTTGAAGGGCTTTTTGGACTCAGGTGGCAAATGCTATTCTGGAACGGTTCGGGCCTCGCAGGTGCTCTACATTCCAGCCGGGTGGGCGTTTGCAGAGCTCACCAGTGAGTTGTCGTTCGGTTTCAAGACGCCCTTGTTCACGGACATGCCATGTGCTCATGAGTTTTTTGCAAAAGCAAAGAGCTCGAACAGTGACAACCCAAGTGCTCGCGAGCAACAGCGAATTGCCGATGCATATCTTCAGGCCATGAGCCACCATGCAAAGCCAAAGGCTGGTGGTGAGGGTAGTGGTCAGTTGACGGAGCTTTGATGGGTTTGGACGTCAATATCGTTCGTCCTGTTTTTTTGCCCTGAATGTACAACATTGGGGCATCACATGTACCTGTAACCTGTGCTCCAGACATACTTTTCTGCAGCGGAGCATGGGCCCACACGACGTGGCAATACCGACTGCACTTCGAGGTGAAAGTGTGCATATGCCAGCCATAGCAGGAGCAGCTGTTTGTGCGAAATCTCGAAACCGATATGGCGGTCGTGGTGTTTTGCACGTTCGGAAAACTGCCGCACAAGTGTTTAAACTCATTTCTGAGAGCATACGTGTTTCATAAAGAAGCAGGATTTACTTTGTGTCCAGCATGAGCTTATCTCCGGATGAGTTTTCACGGATTTTTTTCATAACAGTGATTTGATAAGTTTGAGATTTGTATGTACATGCTTTTTCTTGCAATCTCGAACACTGAAACCCTAGAGCCCTAGAGTCCCTAAGCCTAACCCTAGCGCCCCGGCTCAAACAATGGTTCAAGTTTTGGCTCCAAGCGGAATCGAACATCCGAGCGAGAAAAATGGCCCTGGTACCATATACCCCGCTAAAACGCCCTTTCTTCTTAGGCCATTCTTGATCCACATGGGCCAAAACAAGCGTTTCACGGCTCCGTGGGCCAAGGTCCTGGGTGGAGTGTGGGTGACAAGCCCAGAACCAAGGGAAAGCTGTGCTCAAACTCAGAAGCTCCATCATAGCAGCTTCAATCCAACGCTTTTGTAGTGTGCCCCCATGTTTCAACACAACGTGCAGCCACTTTTCCGCCTGGCTTCGACTAGACCTCCTGTGTCTCACCATGTGTGTGCATTTGCGGTACCCCAGTGTCGCTTGATGCAAGACCCTCTCTGCCAACCGGTTTTCGTAAACCTTTGTAGTGTGCATTCCTGCACTTTTCTCCATTTTAAGAACGGGCTGCTCGTGTTTTCCAATGACGGCCCAGGAGGTAGGCTCAAGTCTCCTCCATTGCTTTGGCAGCCACCTTGGCGCCTGCAGCTGACCTCCCAGCGAGGGAGTGAAAAGCTTTTCTGACCGGCCGGTTTTCATTCTCAGCTTGCATCTGCTGGTTTCGGACCTTTGCGGTTCATGTTCTCAACACTCTTGTGTTGCATTGTTTTTGGCCCCAGCGATTGCCATGCCTCGACATTCTCATGACTTTCATGTCACGACCACTTCTGCAGTCAGCACTTTGTACATCTGCTCGACGAATGCCATGATCGTAGGCACTTGCATCTGTGCTTCACAATATCTCTGGTAGACCATACCAATTTTGCGCATTGCACGAGTGCCGCCTTGGTTTCTCCTCGACTGGTGCATTTGCACCATTTTACAGGCCTGAGGTAAGTGCATCTTTTGGTCTTTTACTTTATCCCACTGCCAGGTCGATTTCTTTGGGGAGTATGTCGTCCCCCAGCTTGGAACAAATCCTCAAAGAGGAAAAAGTTCCGGATCTCATTGCAGGGCAGCTCACTTCGCAACTGACGGTCCGCTCCTTTCCTTGCATCTGCGAAGGTGTGGAAACTTTGCCGGATTGCATCAAGGATGTCCTGGACGCCCCGGGCCAGGCTCTCCTTACTACTGTCACTTTGGCATGCTTGAAGGCAGCATATCATCGCTGCATTTCTTCGGTGATTTCGGCGACACCCTCAGCGACGTCTGCACCCCCTGCCACTGGCAGTGGAGCTCTCAGTACATCTTCGTGGTCAGAGCCTTTTCCTGCGAAGTTGAGCATTGATCGAGTGAATGCCATGAAAGCTACATTCGAAGCTTCATATCCCTCCGAAATTCTCGATGCATCCAGCATGCCCTCGTCAAGGCTACTTGCATCCTGCAACAAGCAAGTGCAGGACAAGCACTATTCTTACATTGCATGGAAGTTTCGACTCAGCGAAGAGAAACAGGAAGATGTTACATCTTCCAGACCGAAAAAGATCGCACGTCTCGACGACTTCATTTTTGACGACGTGCCCTGCAGGGATATAGCTGATACTGGCGTGTCGCAAATGTTCCTTTCGCATTTGTTAGACTTGATCGCCTTTGCATTTTGTTTGCTTGAAGTCGGTCACCTCAGTTCCTTTCGTGCATACAACAAGCTTTTCATAAAGCTTGCATTCCATCGTCCGCCACCAGAGTCTGGGCTGCGAAGCCCTAACGTCACGGAAATGCAGGCAGCGGACCGTGAAGCGTGGAAATGCATTTGCGATCTTGTGAACAAAGGTTGGTGCATGGATGATGCATTGCACGAGATTGTGCAAGTCCGCTGCTTTTTGCAGAGTCACCTGCAGCCGCGGGTTTTCATTCAGAAAACCAAAAGGCCCAGCATCGGGTCAGGCAACACATCTCAGCCTGACAAAACCCACCCAAAGGGCAAAGGCGGCAAGGGCAAGGGCAAGAATGGTAAATCGAAGGACACCCGCGACCAGAATGGCCCCAAGTGGATGGTTTCATTTTATGAGAACGGAGTTCAGAAGCAGATGTGCAAGCGATGGAACCTTCGCTCTGGTTGCAAGTTGGATGACTGTGCATTCGTACATGGTTGTGCTGTTGACGTTGGCGGCCGACCTTGCGGAAAGGATCATCCAGCTTACATGCACAAGTCCTGAAACAGCCCGAAACCTGTGGAGGGACAGTTTTCCGGGCTTTCAACACATGCACCCTCACCTGTTCCATCGGCGGGTCATACAGCTACATCTGATGCTGACATTCTTGACTTGCTTCAGCAGTCCTTTACATCCACAACTGTGAAGTTGTTAAACATCTTGCCAGGAACAGTAACACAGTTAGTGCAGTGCAGTTAATGTACAGGAACAGCCGTCACGCACACGCGACGTGCAAGGCTCGAGACCAGCGGACACAGTGACCCACAAGGAAAAGTGACCGCTTCAGTTTGAGAGTAGGAAGCTTAGTGAAGCCCGTTCTTTAACATGGTAGCGGAGCTGCCTCCAGGAACCTCCTTGGCAGCGATGATGCTACTCGTAGCCATAGGAACCATGATGCTCGGCGCCATGGCAGTTTGCCTCGTTGCCGGATGGAAGCAGATGCGCGCGAATGAGCAGATCACCAAGAAGACAGAGACAGTGCTCAACATGCCCACGCTCAGGATCGCAGTCCGTTCAGGAACAAAGTACCACCGCAGAGGTTGTGGACACCTTCGTAACCACAACGTGACAGCAGGAAACGCGCGAGACTTTGACGCTTGCAGCGATTGCTACCCCGACCGAGTGTTGGTGGAAGAGAAAGAGAAAAGGAACATGAAGTGCTACGGTTTGGCAGCATGTATGGTGCTGCTGGTTGGTTTCGCACTGGGAAGCCTCGCAACTTTGTGCGGGATGATCTTGGTCCCAGGAGCAGGAAGTATGGCGGTGAGACCGTGGCAGGCCCTTGGCAACAAAGTGGAGACCAAGGAAGAACTTGCCCTTGGAGACGCCTTATCCTCCAAGGAAGCGAGCCGTGGGAGAAAGGAACTACCGTACGTTGAGAGTGACGAGAGCGAGCTCATGGCAGTGTGGTCGAGCAGAAGGAAGCCCAATACGCACCCCAATACGCACCGGAACCGCTACAGGAACTATGACGTGTACGGCGAGTACTACCAGCAAGGCTACAACGAGTGCAGCGTGAACCCCGACGGCACCAACGTGAACACGATCAGGAACACGAACGCGTACACGATTAAGGACTATGTGGAGATAGGAAAAGTCATGGTACCGTACGCTTTGTTGTGCGCGAACCAAGTGATGAACGAGCTCTACAGCGTCGTTAGCGTGACCGGCGAGTACTACACGGAAGAGAACAGGAACGGCGACCAGAACACCGAGAACCAGGAGAGTGAGAGCCTTGAGTCAGGCTACGCCCCTAGGTACCTAGTAAAACAACAGCGAGAAGTACTGAGGAAAGTTGTACAGGAACATGTTCACAGTTTCGTAGAAAAGCTAGCAACCGTAGGAAAGAAGTTTCACGACGTCGTGCATGTGATATGTCAGGAAGTCATTTCCAACAGAGTTGTATTTCAAGGAATTCGCATAGCAGTGTTCTTAGGAACCCCAATGGGACTGATTACTTGGATCACCCTGTCGTACTATTCTAGTTTGTTTTTCGCAAGAGCAAGCAACCGCTCGAAGCACCAAAGGAAGACAAGAGGAGAAAGGAGAGCACAAGCAGTGAGCAGGAAACAGTGCAAGTCACTACTTTTAGCAGCACTAGTGTACAGCAACCTTGAAGCAGCAAAAGGAATGGAGGATGCATTGAAGGCACTTGCCGAGATCAATGCACAGACCTTACAAGGAATACAGACACTAGCAGAGGAGATCAGGAACTCAGCAGCTTCAGGAAGTCAAAGAGAAGCAGGACTCACACAAGCATTCCAGGAAACCCTGACAGCAGTTCAGGAACAACAGAAGACAGCACAAACAGCGTTGGCAGACGCCCACACGAACGCAGCAACGACACTTGAGGAGATAGGAGCATCTCTGGAGAAAGCAGTAAAGGAACAAAGAAAGCCTGGAGAAGTGGAGTTGCACAAGCTGATTAAAAGCCCCGAAGCATTTTCCCCAGGAACATGGCAAGAAGAGAAGAGTGGATGGACAGAGTTCAGGAACAGGATTCGGATCTGGCTTGGAGCAGTGGATTCCAACATGGTGAAGATCATGGACATCGCAGAAAGGAACCTAAAAGATGATAAACAAGTGAAGATGGCTGAGATGTCTGCAGAAGCAAAGGAAACAAGCCGACGCCTGTACAGTGTTCTTTGTTCGTACACTAAAGGAAGGCCGTACCGAGTTGTAAAGCATGTAGCTGAGGAAAACGGTATGGAAGCTTACCGTATGCTACTCAAGGAATATCAACCAACGAATCGTGCGAGATCGTTGGAGTTGTTTCACAACATTCTCAACTACAAATTTGCTCACAACAAAGGAATTGCTGAGAATATCCTCGAATATGAGGAACACATCGAGAAGTACGAGAAGGCGACTGGAGAAAAGGTACAGGAGAATTTG